CAGGGAAATTAGCCTGCCAGGCCTCAGAGAGTCAGGTTCAGTTAAAATGAATCAGGGCCTCACTCCCCAAAGTCCTGCGTCACACAATGTCCTGCACAGCTCACTGTCAAGAAGCCTGGAAGATCACAATCTTGTTCCCTATTTAGCACCCCCCACACCCTGTGATTTACAGGACAGCACAGGGGTCCTCCTCAGCCAGCAGGGCTCCTCACTCCCTCCCCAGGAGCTAAGGAGGCGCCAGTCCTCCGGGCAACACCTTCCTGACAGGAGCACAGGGCAAGGCTGAGCCGCATTTGGGGCAGGGGCAGAACTATTGGCAGAAAGTGTTCCAAGAATTACAAATTTGTGTCCAATTAAATGATCATAGTTCAACATCTTTCTGAATTATGGTTTCCAGGTTCCCTTAGTGACCATTCAAAAGTAAAGAACTTGGGTTTCAGTATAAAGTAAGTGATCACCATAAAAGTGACGATCGACAGACCATCCTGTCAGTTAAATGGTGCAGAAGAGGCTCGCGTTCAGGTATGGAATATAAGAAGGTGCTCGAAAGTTTCAAAAATGAAGAAACCTGCCTCTCTGTTCAGGGTGCTTGACATGGTCCACAGGGCACTCAGGGTGGGCTTTTCACACCATCAGCAGCCCGTGGTGTGATGATATTCAGGTTCCCCAGAGGGGCTGAGAAGTGGCTAAGACTCAGGTCAGGAGTCTGCCATAAAAAGCCCAGAACAGTTTCGTGGGGAAACTTTGGATACAGAGAGTCAGCCCCTGGCCCTGGCCCTGGTCCTGCGTTGCCGCCACTACCTGGGCGTCTACATCACCTTAGTGTCCAGAAATGAAATGACCTAGTTCTGGGGGCTTTGCAACCAAAAGAAGGGGGTCAGCACTTGTAACTAAAAAGGAAGTGACCGTGTGCAGGGAATCCTTCCTTCCTGTCCAAGCACACACTGAGTCCACCTTGGCCACGGCTCATCCACACACCGTGAAGCTCGGGAGCTCAGCCAGACACAGGACAGCGGGGAGGAAATCGCAGAGTGTCCTGTTCTCGTCTTTAGGGCAGCGCTGGGCTGAGCCCAGGGCCTTGGTGTGTCAGGTGAGCTCTCTACGATGGGCCATGCCCCAGCACAAGCGCTCCCATTTAAAGCTCTAAAACTCTACATAAAAGACAAGGCAAACAATGAGATTAGGTTCTGTCTCCAGGTGGTTCTAACAACCATGTGTTTCTCATCACACTGATATGAAAACAGAAGCAGCTCACTGAGGTGCTCAGGCACCTGGGGTGCAGCCACACCGGGGCCACATGCTGCTGGGGGTGGCAGGCAGGCTGGGGCTCGGTGGCAGGGAAGTGACAGAAATGAAAAGTGCCTTGTGTGTGTTACAGTTTGTCTGCGAGGACTTTGCGCGATGCTCTCAAGCAGTCTTTAAGAATCTTGTGTTTCCCATTCCCCCAAACTGCCACACGGGGTCACTTTTGAGGCAGACGGTACTTCAATCGCAGTTTTTGCTCCTGCTCCTAGGATGCTCCTCTTCATGTCATAATCTCACACCAAGTAATTAACACTTGTCATTGGCACTGTCTTCTCTCTCCTTTGAACACTCTATTTTTTATATGATTTTATTATTTTTTATCTCTGTTAGATGAACCTTTCTGGTTCACCATTCCTCCCCACTCTTGCCAAAAAGAGAATGAGAGACACAGATTGCATTCTCTTGTTTAATTCATCTTGACAGTTTTTGCTAAACATACCTGACAAATGCAGTGGATCTTGTGTGTCTTGGGATCCCTACGCCAAAAGCCCTGTCTTCATAGGGTGAGGGAGTTTCTGCAGGAAGCTGCCTCAGTGGACTTCAGTGTCTCCCCCAGGGCACCTCTCCCTTTCGTTAGCCAGTCCCCAAGTAAGAGCAGGGGCTTGCCACATGGGCAGCTGGCTCTCAGCCGGAGCCGAGTGCCACCCTCAGCACCCTCGTCTGCCCTCCCTGAGGGGCAAACAAGCCAAGGTGGACAAAGTCATTCCCAGGAATCTGAAGCCCTGCGGCTGACCCTCTCCCTGGGCATCTCTGACCCACCTGAAGGGCTCACTGGGCCAGGGACCCAGCCAGGCTCTGAGCTTATCTTAGTGCCAAGCAGCTGGCAGCAAGTGGGAGACGTCAAAGGTGCCCTGTTTAGAATCCCAGCCCTGATCATTCTGTGGCTGAACCTCTCCCCAGACACCGGCTTGCTTTATAACTGAGTTACACACAAAATCAGCATCATTAATAAAGGGCAATACAGGTCACCAAATTACACGAAGGAGATGGGAAAACAAGCACGTAAATCGCAAGCTGTTCTTCTTTTCTGGAAAGCAGACATAGCCCACTAAAGAAGTTACCAGTTGTTTTTAACCCACTTTCCCTTAAAAGAAAAAAAAAACTGCTGAAATCCATACTAGGGAGAGGGTCTCAGGTAACCTCCATAGGAGTCTGGGTGGAGGAGCTGGCTTTTCCTCTTATCTCCCCACACCTCACACTGCTCAGGACTCTGGGCTGCTCTCCCAACCCAAGAAAGTCGCAGCACTCAGGCTGGCTTCCTCCCACATCCTTGTAGGACCCAGTCACCACGGCGACAAAGCCCTTGAGCAGTGATGCCTACCTCCTGCTGCCCCGGGGACTTCCTGTTGCCACCCTGTGCTGTCTGCAGACGCCCCGACCTGAACCTCCAACTCGACAACTCGATCACCTCCCATGGGAGACCTCGAAGCCACCACTTGGAAACAAATGAGAAGCCAAAGCCTGGAGGTCCAGCTGGGTGTCCCAAATCCAAGGGACAGAGCTCAGTCTAGCCAGCGGCCCTGGCCCATAGCGGCCATGAGCATCTGGCGTGAGACACCACAGACTGGCTGGCCCCCGATGTGACAGCAAATCCTCCCAAAAGGTCCACCGGGTAAGGGTGCTTCCCACAACCCATGCCGCTGGCTGTCAACACAGGCTTTGGCTGTGGCAGTGTCAGGGGAGGGTGCAGATGTCTCAAAGGGAGCTAACAGTGCTGAGCTCTCCTCTCTTGGCTCCTTCAGGTTGGACCTGGACACACGT